GATAGATAGATAGATAGATAGATAGATAGATAGATAGATAGATAGATAGATAGATAGATAGATAGATAGATGATACATTGATTGATTTGGGCTGACAGGAAGAGAACAAAATGACAGGTAATGCTATTGGGAGAATCTGGGAGAATTTTCTCTGAAGAATAGAGAATGGTTCACAGCAAACCACTCTTGATTGCAAGCTGTTGTGTTCCCAAATTGTACGTATATTTTAAGCAGTCTCGGGGGTATCTAGGACAACTCGCCACAGCCAACTTGCCACGCAACCAGAGTTACACTGATATCAAAGAAATGGTGGAATAGAATCATTAAAGAAAGGACGCAAAAGGAGGGACAGAATGAGATGGGTGTAACAAAAATTAAAGTAATTATTTGAATAGTTTTAAAATAATGGTTGAATTGTCCTGCAGCAAGTTCTTCCGTCATAAGTTGGCCATGGCAAGTTGTCCCACAGTGAGTTAGTTGTAGTGAGTTCTCCCATTCTGGCCTCAAGATAAATATCTTTAGACACGAGGATTAGAATCTTCCAAAAGAAAAGCAAGGTTTTTTTAACCCATTGGTCCCATCCAGCAGCAAACATTGCTGCACTATCAATTTTATCTAGATTCGTGGCCAAAGAGATTTAATTCTGCCAAGCAAAAATCCAACTAGGGAACTTTTCCTTAGCATAAACATGCAGCAGCAAAGAACAGTCTCCTTGGTGGATTTTGTTTATTGTAGAATGAGATTTGGGTTGAAAAATTCAAAAGACACCCTCAAAAGCAGATATGTCCGGTTGCTCTTAATACTGGGTTGTGCTCATCCACATGTACTGTTTATCTATTGGAGTTTTCAAATCAATGCAGGGATTTGAACCACAGATCCGAATTGGGTCAAGATGATGGATTAGAGCAGGGGGTCTCCAAACTTGGCAACTTTAAGACTTGTGGATTTCAACTCCCAGAGGAGTTGTATGAATTGAAATCCACAAGTCCGCAACTCTGGGAGTTGAAGTCCACAGGGCTGGCTGAGGAATTCTAGGAGTTGAACTCCATAAGTCTTAAAAGTTGCCAAAAATAGAGACCCCTGGATTAGAGGATTCTGCTTAATTACCATATCTTTTGGAGTATAAGATGCTCCGAAGTATAAGATGCACCTAGCTTTTGGGGAGGAAAACAAGAAAAAACAATCTGCCTCTGCCTCCAAGCAATTTACCTCCTTGAAGCAAACAGCAAACAGCCCGTTTCAGCACAGCCTGGTTAGCACAAACAGCTGATTGTTGGTTGGATCGGCCTTCCGATGATCAGCCATTTCAGGCTGCAGGGATTGCCATAGCCTATTGCCATCTCTCTGCGCCCCATTTTCA